CGCAGAAGGCTGAAGTAAATAAGGTACGGACTCGGAAAACTCATCGGGCAATAACCTGAGCCGGCTTTTTCTTTCAAAAACAAAAAGTCCATGGCCACACACTACCACAGAAAAGAAACAGCCTATAAACTGTCAGTTTACAACCTGTTAATTGCCTAAAAACTATCTGAAAGCTGTCTGAGTTATTGGTCGTTTTTTAGGGCTTAAGAAACTGCTGTGTAAAAAGGGCCAGTAAACGGTAGGACCAAAAACAGTCAGTTAACTGTCTGTAAATGGACCGTTAACCATACAGTTAGCAATCTGTGTTTTGGCTTTTCCGTTTACCGACAGTTATTAGACGGTATTTTTGCAGACCTAAAAAACGGCCAATAAACTAGACAGTTCTTAGGAAGGTTTTAGACAGTCAATAGTTAATTTAAAAACGTTATTAAAATGACTTCCAAGACTTGTTTGTTTGCGCTGCATTACTCCATGTTTTTCTTCCTTCATATTATTAATGTATACACTGGTCGACGTTTTTGTGGGTATTCTTGCACAATTCTTGTTTCTTGGCATTTCAGACAAGTATCTTGTAAAATATGTATTGTTGCATGTATTTTTATCACAAGAACCTTGCAGGAAATCGCTTTTTTGTGAGTTCATACAAGAATCGCGAGACGGATTCTTGTCTGAATTCACAAGAAAGCGATTTCCTGCAAGATACTTGTCTCATTTTTACCTGCAAGAATCTTGTCTTGTACTCCTTAAAAAAATCTTGCAAACAAATAGAATGCATATATAATCCATCTTTCGGCTCCTTTTCTTTTCATATATATATAGGAGCTGGACGCTCTAGTGGGAATACAAGCACACGTAAAGACTCGATTGTCTCTCGACAAGAATCTTATGAGATTTAAAAGACTGTTCAAAGATATCTATGTGCAGTATTGAGCTATATTATGTAACTTATATAGCACGAGAATCGACAAAATAAATTGTTGATTATATCGTCAACGAATCTTGCCACTTCAGACAGGATCTTTAACGAAAAAATATGAAAAATCAATAAAAAATTAAAAGAAGAATCTTGTCTGATCTATCAAGAAAAATAACAAATGAACATAGTCAAAATAGAAGAAAGCGACATTATTCGTGTTTCCATGACATAGACACCTCATTTATATTTTTAGACCTATTTTTCTTGAAAAGAAAACGTTCCTACAATAATTTTTAACATTTTGCAACAATACGAAGTAAAATGCTTAAATGGTATCGTCGAGAAACGACAACTGTACACGATACTAGATCGGACTTGTAAGCAATTTGCAGATTTGAAATGTATCGGAGCTCAGCGCACTTTTCGGACGAAAGCTGAGTCCTGGTGAAATGAAAACTTTTGTTCGCAAAAAACTTTCTCCACCGTCCTTCGTTGTCCGCCTTGAAAAAACACTAGAAATCCTCAAGTGAGCTAGAACTAGCGTCCTAGAATCCTGCAAAAACAAAACACAAAAATCACGACCAAAAATATACATTGAAGAATAACATCGAGTCATTGCACAACTAGCGGTGGAACAAGGATTTCATGCTAGGCAGGGCTCAGCCCATCACTTTTCTGGAGTTCGGTCTGAAGTAGTGCTAATAAATTTTTTATTACTTCAGAGACAGTGTTCAAATAAAAATAGTTAGAAGATAAGTAGCTTCATTAAAAATAAAAGATTATTCTGTAGAAGTACCAGTCACCGCTGAAAGCTGAATTCAGGAAAAATTTTAAAAAACTATCTAAGCGGGGCTCAGAGCTTTCTAGGCAGGGCTTAGCCCAGTCTAGCCCTGTTGGTGTCTCCGCCACTATGCACAACTTCAATCATTGTGCAGAATATAGGAAAGAACAGCAGACGGTATGATTTCCGTCGAATTAATTTTTCAATAACAGCAGCTGAATCGTTCAGTTGCTCGTGCTACCATTTTCAAACAAAAAGACGCATAGTTATTATACTGAAAATTTTTTTCAATGATGATATGGATACAGATTCTTTAACCAATAATCAATATTCAATTCCATCTCGCTCTACTACGTTCCAGTTTTTCCAATCAGGTAGGAGACACATGTAGTTTTGTCATCTACCGCCGAGCCTTACGAAATGTTTAACGATTATTTTCACTTATGTTGCTCTCCTGTTCAATCTGTTTCTATCGAACCTAATGTTCATTTAGTCTCTTCTATTCACAAAAAATTTTCGACATTTTCATTTCTTTTACCGACATTGAAAACACTATTAAATCTATGAATAAATCACAAAGTACAGGCACAGACGGTTTTTCTCTAACATTCGTCAAGCTATGTCTTTTTCTTCTCCAAAACCAACTGTTAGATATATTTCAACTGTGTTAATACTATCTCTGCATATGTGAGAGAAAAAAATTAGCTTTTTGAGTCAGTTTCGATGGATAGTTTGATCGTTGATAAAAACTAAATTCAAATGAAATTGATACTAACTAATCTGGCAGTTTCAATTATTATTATTCAACCTGAAACGATTTTTGCTTTATATTCATTTCATTGGTGGCGGTCAAAAGTGTACATGAGTATAGTTCATAACGCTATGTTGCTAGAGAATCTTACGCAAGGTGAATACTCACACAACCAAAAGCAATATAGTTCAGAAAACTATGGAATGAGTATGAAAACAAAATTACTAAAATTATCAAGCAATTCCAGAAGCTAAAGCGATATGAAATGAAGATGGAGCATATCAAAATTTAATGAATTTCTTCTAAAAGAGGTTTTTACATATTCGGAACCGGTGCGACGAGTTAAGTTGTATGGCGCAAAGATCTCGTCAGGGTCTTGACACTTTTTGGATCCGGATTCTCCACTGTGAGTTTTCACGGTATATTACACTATAATTAATAGTGGACATCAAACACACTTCGTTTACTTTTCCTTTTTGTGATCTTACTTTTCTTCCGTCTTGTGTTTTACGTTATTTTTCTTGAGGAACAAGGTAAGAAAACGAAAAAATTTTATACTTTTATCGAGACTTCATTTATTCTATGTTCGAAAGAAGCAGTGCTCGCTGTGAATTTATCCTATATTCTGCCAACGTCTCAAATTAAAATTAAATTAACTAGAGAGAATCCTCTTTTACTTTTTACACTAATTTGAAGTACATGAGTTGTACTACATATTGATCTATTTTTTAGAGCAGAGTCCTTTTTAGTTTTCTAGATATGAGGCTCTCAATATTCGTGGCTCACACAACTCGAAAGGTAGCCTGGAGTGTCTACTTTCAGAATCTGTATCTCTTTTGGGTCTAGGACTGTTTTCGTAAAGACGAAAAAAAAATTTCATAAACACACTTTGATACGGCAAACATTTACTGGAAGTGGCATCAAAATCGGATGTAAGATAAAAAAGGTTTTTTCTGAAGGGGCCCTCAAGGCAATAAAGACGATAAGAGAACAATGCATATTATTTTAACAATCATAAAATGAGTGAGAATATCACACTGTTAGACGAAACTAAGAAATGGACAAAAACTAAGTTAAATGGATTCTTTGTCCAGCAGCTTCTATCACTTTCAAAACGTTTGGTTTGCGTTCTCCTTGATCTCTTCGTATCAACTAACCATATCGCCAGTTCTTAGTTTTTAAGAATAAAACATGTATTATTGTACAGTAGAAAATATATTAATAAACGATGGAAAACAGAAATTACTAATGAGCGCCCATTGTGCGTCGATAAAGCTTATAAAGTAAAAGAAATCTACTGCCGGACTTTTTCGCCGGAATTGGTTTCGAGTTTATGATCTACTTATACGCAGCATCATTCACTATTTTCACAATAAAGGGACTATGAGGGCTTCTTTTCCAGCATTGATCTCTTACTCCTGGTTTGTTTTCAAGATCAGCACATTTTTCCTAAATGCCAGAAAACAAAAGTTTTTTAACCTCGATTATCAGTAAATGAAAGAAAAAAGAAGTATTTATTTGACAGGTTACTCATCGTCACAATGGATAAAATTAAACGTTTTGCCGACTATCTTTGAATCTGTAAAACTTCTCAGAGAAACCATTGAGCAAATAAAAGCCAATAATACGCAATGTCAACGCTTGGGCGAAAAACTAAAACCATTTGTTCTACACTAAAATAATTGCCGATGAACAAACTGACCTGAATCATATTATGTCAGAACTCGATCAAATTGCGAAAATGATGGTCAAACAGCAAGAAGTACAGTTACAACACCACCAACAGTTAGAAGATCCAACAATTGGGCGTTTCAGTTCGTTTAAGCTCCATTTACAGTAAAACATATTGAAAGCGAGAAGTGTAGAATATAGATGACAAGCAATGTCAGAGAATCGACAATTTTTGCATATACCATATTACGATCTGTCGATTGAGACTGAAATTGGCAGAGGTGGATTTGAGACGGTTTATCGGGGCAGGTGGCTCAGTCGCGATCAGGTTGTAGCGATTAAAGTCACAGATATTAATCACATACCTGAGAAGCGTGAACAAAATCTGAAACATGAGATATCAATGATGTACGGCATCCAGTATAAACATATTGTGGGCCTATTGGGTGCATGTGTGGAACCAAATTGTTATGCTTTGATTATAGAATATATGCCATTAGGCTCGTTGTATGATGTTCTGCATACGAAAAAGAGAACTGACGTGGCCAGATCGATACGCGATTGCGTTACAAATGGTGAAAGGCATTAATCATTTACACCTTTTTCAGCCACCGGTTTTGCACTGCGACATCAAATCCATGAACTTTCTCATGGCAGAGGATACGGATGGTTTTCTCGTGAAAGTAGGGCACTTCGGTCCAGTTCAGATGCGCGATGAAGGTTTGCGACAGTCAACCGTAATCCACAGGCGAGCATCTGTGGGTACAATACAAAGGAAAGCATCGGAGCTTCTGAAATTTGCTGGACATACAATAAAGAGCGATGTGTACAGTTTAGGCATCGTTTTTTGAGAACTGACTACGGGCCGCTTACCCTACGAAATGCTGATAAAGTGGCCATCTGTACAAGCAGGCAATCGCCTAGAAGTGCCTAGCGATGTCCCGGATGCATTTCAATCGTTGATTACCAGTGCCTGGGCTCAAGATCCGGACCAACGGCCAACATGTTTAGAGCTAATGAAAACAATTAAAGAGATACAAACGAGCCCTCCAGTATCTAACTACGAATTAATGCCACCAGCGACTAAAGGTCATCCGACCCCGCCTCCCAGTGAATGCAGAACGAGTAATTCGATTGTCAGTAGTCCATCAAACGATTCAAATGTTAAACATACATTAGATGAAATATTTCACTTGAACACTAATGATAGTATACCAAAATTATTTATTGTTTTGCCTGATTTAGAGTATACATACAATTCTAAAAATATTTGGAATAATAACTATCGTGTATATTTTGTTTGTGAATGTAATGAACATGTATTACATTTAACTAATCACAAATAGACCTATGGGCCGCGCCACTGCCGCCGCCGATGGATAACTAAGGTTTCCGGCGCCGCCGCCGCCGAAGGCGTCAAAATTTTTTGGACCAAGGCGCCGCCGCCGATGGATAAGTTAGATGTTTGCGCAGCCGCCGAGGGTGTTCAAGTTTTGTGGAGGTTCTTGCGGTAAAAGCTTGCTTTAGCTACTCTTCTTTCTTCAGATTTTTTCGATAATAGTTAGACAAAATTGAACTTTAGATTTTGATTGAACTGTAGATTTTTGATTGAAAATAAAATAAAAGTTTGATGAACTTGACAATGGATCGTGCTTTAAAGTAAAGCTTTTTGTACTCAAATTTGGTGGGGGTTCACCCCTCCGCTGACGATGAAAATCTTTAAATAATCTTTCAGCCGCCGCCGCCGCCGCCGATTGAACATTTTCTTTTAGCCGCCGCCACCGACGGCGGAAAATCTTTGAATGAGGTTCCGCCGCCGCCGCCGCTGGTCGAAAAACTTCTGTTACACGCCGCCGCCGATTTTCCGACCGGCGCACAGGTCTAATCAGGAAGAATACGTTTTACTTAATCCTAAATGTTTTTTATCACTTATGGATGGTATATTCAAAGAATGATCATATTGGCTATTAAATGAATTTCGAAATTGATGAATTTCGATCAATTAATATAATATTTGATCTAAAAACAAGTACTTTAATGTTAGGAGAATTTATTGATAATAAAGCGTTAAATCGTTTTTGTAAAATAATCGATGATGGATTTCGTTTTTATAGACTATTTCTTGAAGGATGTATTATTGGTGAAACATTCTTAATTCAATTTATTGATGCATTATGAAAATCAAATATGAAATATTTAGATTTAGAAATTAATATGACTAAAGATTGTTTTAGAATGATAATAAAAATATTGAGTACTATAAGAACAATAATTTATATTAATCTAAATTATTGTGATATATATCAGATAGATGGATCAATGATTATAAATTCATTAAAAGAAAATCAATTATTGCGTGTTCTTGATATTAGCAAGAACAAAATAGGTGATGCAGGTGCTCTAGCTCTTGCAGAATTATTAAATATATTAAATAGTTTAATAGAAATTAATATGAGTGAAAATGAAATAACATCAAAAGGTGGAAGTGAAATTGGAAAAATATTAAAAACAAATAGAACATTAATCAATATTGATCTTAGTTATAATAAAATTGATGATGATGTTATTTTAATTTTTGCTGATTTATTAAAAATAACTACAATATTGAAAATTCTTAGTTTAAGTCGTAATTGTTTTACCCTTCGTAGCTATCGTGGGGTCCACGTGGATCCACTTTGCAATGTCTTGTTTCTTGCTATGTTACTATTAAACCTTTCAATCCACTTTCTTCTGCAATCATTGGTATAGTGTTCATGCACAAGAACCTTTCCAAATCTTATTAATATGTCTTAAGGGCAGAATTTTAGAGTATGGGTCCACGTAGACCCCAGGACGGTGTTATAGTCATGACTTAAAGTCCGGTTTGGGCTGCCCTCTATTGTTCTGGTAACTCTCTTAGAAAAGACATTCGTTGGATTATCATCACTTAATTTTTCTCTCGACTTCTCCTAGTCGTAAGTCCGGTTCTTTAGTTGAGTGAGACAAGAAAACTATCTCAGTATCCTAAATTAAACAAAGTGTCAATTCACTATATGTAGTATATTTAACGCGGCGCCTCATTCCGAAAGTCAAACTTGCTCACAATGTCTTGGCTATGATCTCCAGCAGAATACAAAGAAGGACCACAACGTTAATACGAATGTGAATCGAGCGAAGGAACGATGCTATCTTTGCCCAGTACCACCTGTTTTTTTCTTGATAATGACAAATATTTTGTCGAAACGTCGAAATAAATAAAAAAGGTTTTTGATTAATAAAATGCGATTTAAATTAGCTGCAGTATTAATATCTACAATTCTAAATTTATTGCCCCTAAATCGTAAAAATGTTGCGATCAATTGAATTTCAATTGTTGATTCTCAGGAGCTAAGTTCACATATCACTAGAGTACTGAGAACAAGATGCGCATTCTTAAAGTAATATCCAGTGGAAAGAAAAGCGGTGAGAAATGTGAACGATATGAGCTAAAAACTACTTACTCAACCTCTCTGTTGTGCTAAGATAATGTTATGTTCCGATCACTATTCTACTCTAATATCTCAAGTTTTTCCTTTTCAGTTGTGGAACTTCATAATCGACAGACACTACTGATTTGTTGACCTAAAACTGTGATCATCTACGGATCGTTTTTTAGGACATTTTTCAAAATTTATCCTTACTGATTTTGAGCTATAAAATATTATTTTCTGAATTTTTCATGTTTTTAGATTCCTTAAAACCATGGTCTACCAGTCAGGTGTATGATACTGATCCATCGACGTACTTCCTGTATACAACCCTCGATGACTTATATACTAGCGGAAGGGAAAATTTTGAAGTTGTTGGAAGAAAATTAGCGTTTCATTTATCCGAATGGCTATTAGCATCTCTAGAAGTATCACTAAGAAGCTATTGCCACCTTCTAGCTTATTATTATGTTAGAACGCGCCAATTAGAGCTACTGAGTACACCACACAAAAGGTCACAGTGGGCATTCAGGTGGAAATTTAGAGAAAAACAGTGAACTTGCTCATATACTCCGAGTGACGGCCGATTTAATGGCGAAAGAATTTTTATTCTGCGACTGTTCCTTCTATAAAAGATTTGAAATGCAAAAACACCATGTAAATGCGCTATTTTTTCGGAAAATTTCGATTTTTATTGAAGGATAGTAAATTAGAATAAAACCGAGATCATATTCGGAAAGAACACAGTCAGACGAATACGAAATAAAAAAGAATTTTGTTTTTCGAGTGAAACTTAAGAGTTTTGGAATGGATTCTTTCGAAAACGGTCTAGGCTGTAAAGGCTCTCTCTGGTATTTTGAGAACGCGCAGCTTAGCGCAGTTCTGAACTAACATATTTTTATATCAAAATGTTCCTCGCGAGGCCGTGCATCTATGGTGAATGCGCAAAAGTGCGCATATTTTCCTGGACTGAGATATTGGTTTTCCAAAATCCCTCGGTTTTTGAGGTAAACTGACCTTTTCGCACTCAAAAAACATTTTTCCTACATGATATATATATATTCCGAATCACCGTAAAAAACTGCAAGGACGGTATATAATTCATCTTAATTCGGTCCTTCTGTTCTGAATTCTATAAATTCCTTAAATTTGGGACTCACATGAAGAACTTTCCGCTGAAAATTGAAAATTCAAGAGAGAAGCCGTGGAAGGTCTGAAAAAACTGCTCCTATAGGTTATCCACGATGCTCTATCTAATGGAATGGTTTTTCAGTTTAAAAACGTTTTTCAAAGGGTTTTCCACAAATCCGGTCTCTGGAACACCCACTGGAAAAATTTGTTGAAGCTGGAAAACTATTCCATTGGAAAGAGAATCGTCGAAAACCTATAGAAAGTGGTTCAGATAATTTCAGTCTTCTTATAAAGTTAATGTTCGCCTGCTCTAGCGAAAAATGCCCACTGTGAGGTGGTAGTTGGAGTGTATAGTTTTATGTGTGTGATGAGAACCAAAATATGAGTTCGATGATCGTGCAGCATATAACTTTTCACAAGATTATATGACATCATTTCTCATCCAAGATATTGTTCAGCCACATTTTGCAGCTCTCACAGCTGCAACTAGATCAGTATCAGATATTCTAACAGATATTCAGTTAAATAAAACTTACTCTATATTGCTTTTTTATTCATTGCACTGTTTATTGTTAAGATTATTCGCACACGACTAATAATAGTTGGTCTTATAATGATCTAAATTTACAATTATACAACCAACATCCTGCTGTTGACAATGTTCCAAAGTGTGATAAGTGCCAAAAATGTTTATATGAAGTGTTTCATGTGCGAAAGAGAATCATACAATTATTCTTAACGTCTATTTTCATGCACTTTTTGTACAATTAAAAAACATACAGATAATGTACTGGATTTGCAATGAACAAAAAATAAACAATTAAAGGTATCAAACCAGTTTTGAAGGATAAATAATCAAAACTTAAATATTAAACTCATAGTTAATGAGCATATTTAATAATACTTCGTAAAGTCATTACCACAATAAGTGTAAAATGACAACGAAATGTTGAAGATCATAGAGCCCGCTGATCTTGAGCTATTGTGATGCAGTTTTTACATTTGTTGTAGGTAATGACACGACGAATACCTTTTACCTGAAGAGTATTTTAGAGATCTCCTTCAGAAAACACACCAGAGTTGTGTTCCAAAGCTTCGTGTATTTCATTGAACTGGCCCGAATTAACCCAAGCAAAACGACTTGTCGGCCCCAATTATCTCATTTGAAAAAAACGGAAAAATAAGAAAGTTGACCATTCGTTATTATGTTTTACTTAACTTTATTGTATCGAATCTTAATAACTTCAACTTTGTATCGGAGGTAGAAGAGGAGAAGAGCTTCAAACTGCTGTAATTTTTATGTGATTAGGACTTATCCATAATTAGAAGAGCTTTTATAATTAAAACTCCATTCATTTGAATAAACTCGCCTGAATTACCCCAGATAGGAGAAATTCGGTCCGTTTTGGAGGCCCCTGTCTGCTTTTGAATACTGCTCGAGGATGCATAGGAATTTTTTAGGAGACTTTTACATCAGCGGATGGAGAACTGTTAGTTGTGTCTTCATATTCAATAGCACGCTTCTCTGATTAAATTAGTAATGAATTAATCTTAAATTAAATAAAAAATAAAATTTTCGTCAAGTAGCTGTACAGGGTCGCCAGCCTTCATAGTTTCTGCTGGCTGCATAGGACGCTGTCTTGTGAGAAAATAACCAAAAAGCCTGGAATTAGCGTTAAAATAATTCTCTCGCGTTCTCTCGCCATTAAATTCATCGTAGTTTCTTCTACTGGCAAACATAAAAATACTTGATAGTTTCACGAAGAAATTCATCAAGAATAAGGGGTGAAAGTGCCGACGTCAAATTTCCGTGAGTTAAGAACATTCATTCTACAATCTTTGACAGAGTAGTTTGTAAGGTTTATTTTTAGAAGCCATTTTTTTAACGTTTCCTCTTCAAAAAAAGTCTTGCGATTCTTACAGTAAAAGAATTATTTAATTTACAAAAAATGACGTATGAAGAGTAGATTGAAGAAAAGATTTTATATAATCTCTATGTTCATTATAACGAAAAATTCTTTTACTGTAAAATTCGCAAGGCTTTTCTAATGTGAAATGTTAAAAAATTATTTCCATGGGAAAGAAATGTATCAAAGAAAGAAACCGTTCCTTTTCGCACGTAAGGATGATTGTTGTACAGAAATTGAACATGAGATCGAGTGACCTCGGGTTCATTCCTTGTCTACGTAGTTCCTTTTTTTCAATTTTTGTTGAGATTCCTCTGTCAAGACTGGACTCAACAGGAATTATATCAGGTGAAATTATAATTGCAATTTATATAAAAATTTTCAGCTGTTTCAGGTAATTATTTATATGCATATGAGGACAGAACTCAAACCACTCAAGTTTCTAGACAGACTTGAATTTTTCACAAATCAGTAACCCGGAAATTATTGTAAAAGCAAGATATGTTGAGCGTAGATGACAAACAGGTAAGTTCTAAAATAAGAGAAATGCTATGTCACTCAAATGCGGGAAACAAATGCTATAAACTAGCGACCTTTGTTAATATCTTCTTTTCTCCATTCTGCATAAACCAACCAGAAAATAGTAGTGCATATTTTCTTTTAGATATATACACTCCTTATTTGTGGCAGCTTATTTGTGGCTGAAATCAGACAACGACTTTTTTTGTTATCCGTCATAATAATAATAGTAAATAAGTCACTGTATAATTAAAGGTGAACAGCAATAGATAATCGAGTTAAAAATGGCTGATCTGTTTTTTATTATTACACTAGATATACACGTATACACCAATCATTTGTGAGAAAGAAGAAAAAGAATTCGATTATATATACACGTTTCATCATACTTCTTAACTACGCCAGAGCTGCATCAGCAGAGGATATCTAGAGGACGAGCTTAGTCACTTCTGCTTTCCTGATCGTCACAAACTCATCGGCTGTATGGAATTTAAGATGCTCTACTTTACAATGCAAAACTTTTCATTGTTGTTACAAGTATTCCAGTAAAAAATGAAAAAAATCATTTTTTTATAAAAATAAACACAATAGAGCTGCGACAAATAGCGATTTTCTTTTCTTTGTTCTTTTCTATTTCCTTTTCTTATTCAAGTTATATATAGTGTGCGCTCACGTTGCAATGTACGGTACACATATATAATATACATTAAGACTATTGTCTGTGCTAGAGTGATGTCACGTTTCT